AATAGGTGGCAATAGGTTTTTACCCTTGTTTTCTACAGATGAAGCATCTCACACCCTTCTGCGAAGCTGCTATGCTCTACCTGCAAGCTCTGTCTTCGTTAGATAAAGCCCCTCCCTCTTGCAAAGCTGCTATACTATGCCTGCATATTGCATTAAGACATATATATTGCAGTTAAAACAATTACAAAAGTCCTCTCCATCTTTTAAACTATCATTTGTAAAGACACACCTATCTTTTTTCCAATAAATATTATAGAATAAATACAGCAGCATCAACTTTGTGTAGTTTAAAAGTCATGAAGTATCCAGGGGTTTGAGGGTAGTGATTATTCCCTTCTACTTGTTGCTTGTCAGGCTGTCTGCAGTACAGTCACAGTACTGCCTTTGTCCATTGTAGGTTCCCCACTGAAAGATGTGCTGACAAACTGGATAGGCACACCGAGATGGTTAGGAGGCCACAGTGTATGACAGAAGAAGAGAGGAGCAAGCAGGTTTTGTGTAGCCTAAAGACTGTTAAGGTGGTTTCAGCTGCTTTCTACACTGCAACATTTGGTTGTAGAGAAACTGGAACCAAACTTTTCTCAAGGGTGCATAGTGATAGGACAAGAGGCAATAGGCAGAAGCTGCAACAGGGAAAATGCCAACAGGACATACAGAAAAACTTCTTCCTAGCTAACCAGGGAGAGGTCCCAGCTGACTGGAGGTGTTGCGATTTAGACCCAGCCAGGAGCCGAGCACCGCATTGCTACCTGCTCACTGTGCCCATGGTCCTCCTGGTGGAATGGCAATAGGGGGAAAAAATGCAAAATCCCAGGGGTTGAGATATGGAGAATTTAATAGAACACCACAAGAAAAGAAACATCAATTATAGTAGTGAAACAATATATGAAGTGAATTATATAGAATGCACCAGCACCTGGAGCTGCACCAACAATGCAGTGCCAGGGACCTCACACTCTGCCTATCTATCCCCCACCCTTCTGTAGTGGACATGTCAGTATGGTATAGAATATCCCATTAGCAGGTTCTGTTGTCTATCCTGGCTGTGGCCCCCTCACAGCTTCTTCTTTCAACTTATCAATCTCTACCTGAAAGGAAATTGTAGAGAAGTGGGGGTGTCAGTCTGTTCTCCCAAACACCAAGTGATAGGATAGGAGGAAATGGCCTCAAGTTGCACTAGGGGAGGTTTAGAGTAGATATTAGCAAAAATTTCTCCATGGAAAGGGCTGAACTCTCATAGATTGAGATATACCGTGTTGCTGTGGGTCATGCCATCTCTGGAGTGGCTCCCCTCAACAACTGACCAAGACAGATCTGGACAAAGCATGGATCAAACCAGCTAACATTCAAAACAGGGGTTTGGACTAGGTGACCTCCAATAGCCCCTTCCAACCTCAATCCTGTGTTTGTGATCTTTATAATCAGAAAAATTCTTTCATCAAAAAACAATACTGAGGTTTAAGAAACACAGAGCACCAAATTAATAGTAAATACAACCACATGCTTGATACAAGGGTCAGTGGTAGGTGTGGAAAATCCACCTGGGGTGACAGAGATGGGGACATCTGGGAGCACTGCTGCAGCTCAGGGGTACAACACAGTGCCACAACACCCTTGGTCCCTCCAAAGCAGGCCTCATGGGGGCTGCAGGTCCCCTCAGGCCATGTCCTGACTGGCCTACCCCAACACCAGCTGCAAAGCCGAGCAGCAGAAACATGTGTTGCTACCAGCCCAGTGGCCAACTTGATAGGGCATTTGTTGTTGGGAATAACAGGCCTGCTGTTGTATCCACGCCACTTGGCTGGGGGTTGTTTACAAGATTTGCCCTGGAGAGGCACAGGGCTGGACGGGGTGCCCAGCCTGGCTCAGCAGCAACACAGCACGAGCACACTGCCACTTGTTATGCCAAGTAGTTTTCCTGCTGGAAGAAATACAGATTTCCCCTTGCTGCAGTCTCAGATTGGGGTTGTTACAGGAACTAAACTTTCTTTTACTGCTAGGTCTAAATTATAAACCTATAGGCATGAATTTTTCAAGGGGCCTGTATACTTTCAGAAGTCACATTGACTTTTAATAGGATTCATATATTTAATAAAAAAGTCAGCCCAGTGGCTCTAGATTATAGAATATTAGTATTGCAGGGAACTAAAAGAAAATTCTAACAAACTTCCCAAGCAATGACTAACAAGAAATACTGAAGAAAAAAAAACTGCAAAGGAGTATCCCTTGTGGTGTTTTCCCTTCTTTTCTTCCTAGGTGTTTTCAGCCAACAGATTATTTTCTGAAAGCTCCAGCAGCTCCTCCTGAGGGCATCTCTAAGCAGAACAGACTATTTAGATGCAGAAAATTTTTTCTTGTTTCCCCTGTGTCACATAAAACCCGCATCTACAGTCCTGTGTTTCTGAAATACAGCAATATTAACCAGAGAAATCTCACAACATTTAATAGGGACTGCTTACGAGGATGGTCTTAATTTGTGAACTTCAAACCCAGTAATTTTTAAGACTTTCACATTTTTCAACTTAACACAATCGTGTATCACTTCTTTTTCATCTTCCTTTTAAATTATTTGCAGCAACTCAATCTCCAAAGCACCAAATCAGAGAGGTTCATCTACCTGATCATAAGAGCTGCAGCAGCACATATCTTAGCAGAGACAGACAAGCAGGACACACCCCACTACATCAGGCTACCAGTCTGGGAAGCTAAAACAGTGTTTTCAGCTACCACCTAGAGTTTTGGACATCTTTCTTTTAGTCAATCAAGGCAAGAGGAAGTGGGACAGAGCAACTGGTATAAGTAAACTCACAGTACTTCAAAAAAAGGCAGTCTATTTTTTTTTAAAAATATGTCGTAAAACTGCTGATCAGCACAAGAAAATCAGACTCCCCATTTTTTGGCTGAAATATGGCACTCACACTTGACAGGAAAAAAAAAAAAACAAACCAAACAACAAAACCAAAACACCAGACAGAACACCAAACCTCCAAGAAGCCGACAGCAAAGCAAATTTCATACATAATGCAGGAAAATGGGACTACTCAAAGGATTTTAAATGATGCAAATGTGGGCTCTTATTCTATTACAAGTCTAACTTATAACCAATTTCAGTCAGCTTATGATCCAAGAAGCTACTTTTCTTTAACTCACAGATAAAAGCTTTCTACTTTCATTTCAGTCTGACAGTGCTAAGCTCAGTCAAAAAAGAGGACTGTTCATTTTCAGTGCAGTTAGCTGATTTAATTGTCTGGATTATCTGTATTAACAAGTATTCTTATCATCTTAACTCACCATAAACTTCTATCCTTAACAGAGTCACTGACTAAAACGAAGCTTAAACTGCTGCTCAGGGACATTAGCGGATACAGTAACAGCAGGCATAATACAAAACAGTCTCTGGTTTCTTCATGTAAGTTTTAACACTTGATCTGATAATTTCTGATGATTAGAGCATAAAAACATTAGATGGATTTAAATCAGTCATCCTCACAGCTGAGTTCTGCAGACTGTGATGAAGACTTACAAGTGACATTGGTCTTCCACCCTTCTCCAATTTCAAATGCTTATATTCAAAAGTCAGAATAAATGCAAAGATATGAAAACCAACATTAAGGTTCATGCCTGAAGTTTCAAGTTGCTATAATTATTTTCCTCATATACTTTTAGGAATTAAAAATTACACTTTGCAATTCAAAAGAAAAATTCTGCTATGCTGCTCTCCAGCCCAAGGAACTGCCAAAAAAAGCACCCCTCCAGTCACAGCCCCTGATTCAAAGAACAAACTCAAACCATAGCAAAACACAAGGGCAAGAACAGATTTTTTTTTTTTTTTTATTAACCTATTTTATGGACTCTCAAGAGGAAAATTAGTCCTGCCAACGGTTCTTCACTGTATGAGACTAGTATCTCATCACAGGACATGGCATTATTTCACTTTTACATCTCTCCCTCAAGAATACTCCCTTTGATGAAGTAGTTCAAGGACAGGCATCAGAAAGTCTGTTATAGCAAGGTACAGCAAATGGATCCAAGCCACGTTAAGACTTCCTCAGTAAAAATACAGGGTAAAACTCAGTTTGACGAGCAACATAAATATGTGCATCATCATGGACTCAGTAGAGGACAATACCTTGTACTACTGGTCACCTTCCTTTCAGGTCCACTTTATATAAGTGCCAAGAGTATTGCTACCACTAAGCCACAAAAGATGGAATTTATATTTTAAGTTGAGGTAGCCAACTAATTTTTTTTTTTTTAACATCAAATTAAGTAAATTACCCTTTTGGACCTAAATAACCTCTTTTAGCTTCTACTATAGAACAATATATATACTGTCATACTTTAAAAAAACTATTATTTCAGTTATAAACAAATATCTTGCAAAAATTAGAGATGCCTCCCAGTTGAAGAAATGACAGAGAGAAAGATGACCACAGTAGACTTGAAGGACAGCCACAGACCCTTAAACAGGAAGATTTCAAGGTATGAGTTTCAGGCACACTCAGCATACCTGATGATCTAAGTTAATAATGTTGACTAGCTGTGCCTGTCAAGCAGTTCATCACTCTCAAGAATAATCTCAGACACCAGTCTCTGGCAAAATGCATTCTGCATTTTTTTTCCACGATGTTGTGCATGTTTTTATTTTGAATAAATGTTAGCCAAGTTCTTAGCTATCCTATACATGCACTTGTATGCATACTTGCACCGATTCCCTAGTCCATTAAAGAACCTGCATAAGTAATTAGATAGGGTGCTAGGCAGGGAAAGCAATCTTAAAGAGAAAGTGTTTTTGTAGAACTCATCTGTTTTGAATGTAACCCCATTTTTTTTCTTCTGAAGGAATTATTGATCAGCATACAGGCAGTTCATTTGTACTTAACATGATTCCATTTCAAATATGGGCCCTAACTTTAGTGGTGCATGGTCCATTGCTAGCAACAGACATGCAAACCAACCAGTAACACGGATCTTAAAATGGTAAAAAGAAGGCAGACTTGAAGAGAAATTTCTTTATAATTTTCATTTAAAAAATAAAATAGGTCGCAACTTTAAAAGAGGAACATCCCATTCCAGCCGAAATATTAAAAGATGCTTCCATGCTAAAAGCAAATGTGACCCTCATAGAAGCTGCTAAGTAATAAAGAAAGAAGCCTACTCTTTAACATTACTCCTATCCGTGTCTTTGCTTTCCTGGCTTCCATGACTGTTGGCACTTTTACTAGATTGATCTAAATCCTCAACTTTATTCTCTATTTCCATAGCACTGCTTTCCACAGGACTGTGGGAAGATTCTTCATCTATTTCTGCTTCCATTTTTATGACTAAATCATGTTCTTTATCTTCCACATCCATTCCTTCCTCTGTTTGTGCCAGCCTATGTTGAACTTCTTCCTCCATTTTAGTTTCCTCCTCTTTCCTCTTTGCTTTAAAGACTTCAACTCCCATCATCCTCAGGTAATGAAGTCTCTCATTCTTGGGCACAAAGGCACGGAGCGATGTCTTTCCTTGCCAACCACACAGCACTATAGGACACTGAAGATCAGGTTTTCTAGAAACAAGCAGTTACATTGGGTCAGCTATAAGAAAGGATATCATAAAAACTTAATTTTACAGCCACTCTCTGATAAGTAATTGCACAACCTTTAATACTGAATGCATTTTATAACTATTTTTAGAAGACACAGTGCATTGGTATCTAAAGAGATATCTGGCTTGCCTGCAAGCAAGGAAAAAAAAAAAGGTTCAATGCTATTAAATTTCTGCAACAGGCAAAATAATTTTCTGGATCTGGTTTCAGAACAAATAAAAGCAAGACAGAAGTAGTTTACATTGAAAAAGTTCACAATAGCTTCTAATACTACTTTGTCAACTAAAATGAACAATGAAAAAGTTTAACCTCTTCTACTTTACATGCTGGACTTCATAGGGAAACAAATCACATGCAGTGATACTATGGACCTCTGGCAGGCTTACTAGCTCTACTTTATCATGCTAAATCCTACAACTGCTTTAAGAATACAGAGGCAAGATACCCTCGTTCCCTGTTAATATTCTTTGTATCCTCCCTGGCTTCACTGTGGACCTCACTGCATCTCTGTGCCTCCATTTCTCGTTTTGCTGAGTGAAAATAAACCCTTGTTAAAGTTCTAAAACTGTGTAAAAGGCAAGCAACACATCTACTTACTCAGGGTCTGGGTCATACTTCAAAATGATACTTCCCATCGCTACAGGGAAGGGAGGTGGGAGGAACAAAAACAAAACAGATGTGTTACTTGGTATAATGTTAAAATGGCTGTAACTGGAAAATGTTCAGGAAAACAAGGTTTTAGACAGCCACAGAGCTCAAGATGGTAAGCACTCACCTGTATCAGTAAACTATAGACAATACTATTTTTTTTTCTTTTTTAGACCAAAGTATTTATACAGTTACAAAAGCAATTGCCAACCCTGCCCCCTTCCCAAACATCAAAAAAATTAAAACACAAAACAACACAGTGGATTAATTTGCTCAGTGAATCAAGCAAGGAACTTTTACTTAAGTAAAATGATCCTAAGAGTATGCCAGCCTTCAGCAAAACTGCTCTTCCCACTTAGTCTTATTGCACACTGAAGGACAGGGACCAGTGATGATTTGAAAACAACAAACAAGAGACTGAAAAAAAAAGCAGTCTTCATTTCTTCAAGCATCCAGCATAGTGGTAATAAGAATTTAATGAGTAAACATTGCTCCCCACAGCTAAGAAAATCAAATCTAAGTAACTATATTTGATACATAAAATTATGCAAACAATTGCAGATGACAAGCAGCTTCAGCTGGAGCACTAACTAGCAATAAAGATCACTAGTGTATAAAATATCAGATGAGCAAGGATTTTATAAGTGCTGCCTCACAGCACTGCTTCACAGAAGTCACAGGTTTGGCAACTCCTCTGTCTTCTTTAGTTCATAAGCCTTAAAGGCTGTGACCAGAAAGGACTACAGCTTCTTGGAGCACACTGTTTCATTAATGCTTATTTACCTAATTAACAAGTATATTTAAGAAATTTAGTCAAATTTTTTAGCAAACAGCTTGTGACAGGATTTTCAATCTTCCATGTACTGTACAATAGCACAAATTAGAAGGCTTACCCATGTCTTTGACTTTCTTCTGTGTTTCACTGCTAAATTTACTTAAGAATGGATTTTCCTGGGATAGCAGAATTTTAACATCTTCTATGCAGACATTTATAATCCTTGCATGAATGAATGGGTACAAAGTATAAATTCCCTGTTTAATAATAAATAAACATAATTATTTCAAAGTTAAATCTCTGCTTTCTGAAGGAAGAATGTTAAAAACATTATGTCCTTTAGCTACTACCAGAAAATAATTTTCACATTTTAAACCATACTGAAAAATACAAACTGTCACTAATCTGATAAAGTTAATGCCAGCTGTGTGCTACAGGCTCTAGAGGAAACCAAAGTATCTCCTTTGAAAATACAATGCTATATAATTACCTCTTGTGCTAGTCTGAATGCACATCCAAACTGTTCACCATCGCTGTTGCGAGACCAAACTTTTATCCCCGTGTTAATAACCTGCAAACAGCAAAGCCAATAAGCATCACTAAGGATTATAAATCCTAAATTACCAGTCTGAACTTTGTTTTTCAACTGTTTGACTAAAAAGGAAGAAAAGGAATAATTCTTCTGTAACATTTATTCATTTCCACTGGTTGTTAAATGCAATTCAAGTGAAAATTAATTCAAGGGGAGAAGGAATTCCCACTATCAAAACATAGTTCTGTCTCAACATAAATGCCTTCTACTCCTTTCCATGCTGAAAGCTGAACACTGGGAGGAAGTAGCAGCCTTAAAATGAGGGCAATGAAATATTAAGTTCTAATTTTAATTTTAGTTTGAGTAAGAATTTTCTGGGCTATTCTGGCAAAGTCAACCAAGGACAAGATTTTAAAAAACGCACAAGTGCTTAATATTAGGACATTATATCCTTTGTGGTATCCAAAGTCTCACTCCTTAAGAGATTGCACCAGTTTCTTAAATTTTTTTTCAGTTATGTAGCCATATGTGGGATAAAAGGATAACTATTTATCCATCTCAAAGATCTGTTGCAAAGATGTAATAAATATGCTTGGAAATTTTCAGGATTTGACTGGACAACACCCTGAACTCTGATCTAGCTTTGAAGTTACCTCTACTTGGTGCAGGAAGGAAGCTGAACTACATGACCTCATTCTAACTTTAAATTATTCAATTACTTTTAAGGGAAATCTTTAAAGTTTGCAAGACGTTTTGCATGGGGAGTCATAAAGAAATGATTCTTCCCTGTAATTCACAAAAAAACTTAATCCCATTATTTTGCAGTTTAACAATTTTTTTGGTAGGCTTTCAAAGCTCTTAACACTGTTATAATTAAAGGGATTATGTATAAATACAACAGCATCAGTGTAAACTTCTGAAGGTACCTGAAGACCGCAAAAATGCTGGTACACACACAGCAGTTATATATTCCTTCCCTCCACTTTTAAATTCCCTGCCATCTCCCAAAATATATAATGATCTTCATCTTGGAGGCTAATCTCTCACAGACAACCCTTCATCTCTTAAACAGAGGAGGGAAAGTGGAAAAACATTGAAACTGAAAGAAAAAGGCCTATCAGAGGGCTAATCCTCCATATAAACAAGCTCAGCAATAAGGTTCAAGGAGACATCCACTCAAGTTGATAAATTACATGGTGAAAACCTGAAGAGATGAACCATACCTTCATCTTCTCACTGTTGTTCAGAAGCACATTCCTTAGCTCCTTAGAAACCATGTACAGCTGTCTCTTCTTTCCTTCTTTAGTTCGAGTTAGTAAATTCATCTTGGGAAATGATGGATCCAAGGCATAAAACTTCCTGTGACCGTAACACTTGTTTTGATTAAATGAACAGTGAAATTACATACTCAAAATGCATGGGTTAGCCCATTTCCTCAAGTGATCTCTGCAAACACTTAACACTCTGGCTCCAGAAGATGAAGATCAGACTTTTTAAAAGGCATGACATCAAAAAGGACATGCTGTCATAGACACTAAGACACACTTGAAGACTTCCAGTGCAAACTATGTGGACTATTTTCATTTAAGAAGAGTTTAAATGTTGAGGAGGGGCACCTGGTGCAAAGTTAGGCAAAAAGTTATGTGCAACCAACTAGACCCATGTTTTGTGATGACTACTAATATTCCTAAACTACTAGGAACCTTACTGCCAAAACAAACATTTTTTTTTCTTACTGGATAGGAAGGAACACTGGATCATCTTCAGGGAGAAACACAAAAGGGTCTTCTTTAAAACCAAATAACTTCATTTTTTTAGATGGTGGTGGTCTAAAAAAAAAAAACAAACACCATTGCATTGTCAATTTTAATAAAAGAACTGAATATGCTGAATTTTAACCCACATACATTTAGTCAACACTTGCTTATGATAATGACAGTATGTAGTATGACAAAGAATACTGACATTTTCCTGTGCTTCACTAAGACAACACTATCCATTATTTAACTTCTTAAAATCATAGAATCACAAAATGTTAAGGGTTGGAAGAGACCTCTGGAGATCATCAAGTTCAACCCCCCTGCCAGAGCAGGACCTTCCTGTGCTCCAGCTTGTATCCATTGCCTCTTGTCCTGTCACAGGGCATAAATGTTTCTTCTTGACACCCACCCCTGCTATATTTATACACGTTAATTAGATCCC